GGGAGACCCAGATTCAAATCCCCACATGGTCATGTTGCTTGCTGGGGTGATGCTGAGCCACCTCACCTGCCTCACAGAGCTGCAGGGACAAAAGTGTGTCGGGGACAGCACCTTGCGTTCCTTGGAGGAAAGGTGGTAAATAAATAATAAAATGGATTGTTGTCCTAATGCAGGGAGAAGAAAGCGTCCCCATTGTTAGAGACCCCCTGTCCTTGCAGAAAAATAGTGGCAGCAGTTTGGGCTACCCCCTCTCTCCCCTAGCCAATGGCTGGCCAGGCCAGGGGATTTGGATGGCTGAGGAGAAACCAGCTGAGATCAAGCCTCACAATCTCGAGCTCCAAGACTGAGTGCTCAGCCGCTCTCCATGACTCATATCTTCCAAATGTATCTCATCCTCCTCAGTAGATTTGGTGTGGAGGAAGAGTGAGCAAGATGACCAACCCCAGAGATTGCAGGGGCTGGATTGCCTTGAGCTCTAGGGCAAGTCGGCCCACATTCTTTCCCTGAGCCGTACATTTAGCTCCATGATTTCAGGAGTAAAGATGGAGTGAAATATCTTGGTCCCACTTCACTGAGATAAGCCACCCTTCTTATTTACCTTGCCCTCTGCTGGATGGGAGTTAAGGTAAGGTCAAGGTCTGTTGAGTAGAAAGGGGATCTCTGCTTCTGGATGGTCTGGCTGGAGGTGAACACGGGATGTTGCATTCCTTTGCACCCATTCAAGCCAATCCTCTGTTTAATGTTCAGGGAGCACGGATTGGCTGTAAATTTAACTAATCCCCACTCCTAAAGTGTCTGTAGTGAATGTGTGGCAAAGGCGGACACTGGTTCTACCTGTTATGATCGAAGGAGTGTTTAGCCAAGGAATATATTATTATCTTACTATTATTTATTAAATGTCTATACCACCTTTCATCTGAGGATCACAGAGCAGTTTACAGTATGGCGTGAATTGTGGGATTTTCACAGCAATTAGCTGGAGGGCTACTTTGTCTTTGTTTTCAAGTTCTAAGAGTGGGGTGGGGGTTGCTGTTGGAAGTTTATGTTTGGAGTCTTGAGACTGAGCGCCTATAAGAACCTTTTGGCAATGACAAGTGTTAGCAATCTGGCCTTCCTGTATTTGTTCAGTGTTCCTTTTAAAACTAGACGTCTCCCTGCTGGTGCTTAATATTTTAATCTATTTTAGTAATTTTAGTATTTTGGTAATTTTAATCTGTTTTGGTATTCAAACTTTTGCATGCTTTTAAGTGCTCTTGTAATTTTTTTCTTGATTTTCTTGATTTATGCTTTTGTAAGCTGCTTTGTAAAACCCCCTCAATCAAGCAGTGTAGAAATTTTATGAAATTAAATAAATAAATACATAATACACTATGTTGCTGTTGGAGTACTGTGGTTGAGTACAGAGTTTGTCTGATCTATTGTGATGGAAATATGCAGGGAAGATGAGAAGTGGGGAACTGGTTTTTTGGTGGGGGGTAGGGCTCCCGGCGGGAAGGTAAATGGCTTTTCCGTGCGCTGCTCTGGTTCACCAGAAGTGGCTTGGTCATGCTGGCCACATGACCCGGAAGCTATACGCCGGCTCCTTCGGCCAATAAAGCGAGATGAGCGCCGCAACCCCAGAGTCGGCCAAGACTGGACCTAATCGTCAGGGGTCCCTTTACCTTTACCTAGGGCTCCATTGAGGTCAATGGGTGGTTTTTCGTTTCTGCCACCTCTTAAATTGGCATAATGTTGTATCAAAGGCAAAATCACTATTGGGAGGCATATAGGATGTGGTGTTTGTTTGTTTCTCACCCCTGTTTTGGTCTCTCCATCAGCATAGTTTTGTTGATGGTACAGAGGTGTACAGCAAGTCTTTCCCCATATCCTAAAATCCCCCAGTGCAACTACAAGTCCTGATTAATATATTTACAGTGCATGCTTACTGATAAGTAAATTTCACTGTGTTTATTGTGACTAACATCCAGGTAACTGCACAGGATTGTGGGTGGTAGCCAACAAAGAAGCTACATTTGCTTTAAGGACTCCTGGCCTAATTTGTCCTCAATTTGTAATCCATCATACATTTACTCCTGGGTAATTATGTTAATCTTATGAAAATGAGTTGTGGATTTAAATTTGGTTTACTTCAATTTCTAGCTCTCCTGATTCTAAGAGACTGGAGAGATTGATAAGTTTTAAAAAATAATCAGGGCCGTCTTTAGCAGATGCGGCGCCGGGGTGCAAATATCCACCCAGCGCCCCCTAATTACCAAGGATAGTGTTGGGGTGGCTGTAGCTGCGCACTGCCAACCATGGGGGAGGGGGGCACAACTCTCCCCCAAGCCTCCGCGGGAGAAGAGCGCAGCTTCCCTCCCAAACCTCCTCGGGAGGAAAGTGATCCCCGTAGAGGCTTGGGAAGGAAGCTGTGCGCCCACCAGCCATATCGTTGGCAGGGCGCAGCTGGCGGGCGTGCAGGGAAAGGGGAGGCCACTGGCAAAGCCGTGCAGCTCCCCCACTTGCTGGGGCACCCCTGAGAGGCCGGCGCCCTGGCGCAACACACCACTAAGCCCTATGGGAAAGATGGCTCTGAGAGTACAGTGGTACCTCGGGTTAAGTACTTAATTCGTTCTGGAGGTCCGTTCTTAACCTGAAACTGTTCTTAACCTGAAGCACCACTTTAGCTAATGGGGCCTCCTGCTGCCGCTGTGCCATTTCTGTTCTCATCCTGAAGCAAAGTTCTTAACCTGAAGCACTATTTCTGGGTTAGTGGAGTCTGTAACCTGAAGTGTCTGTAACCTGAAGCGTATGTAACCCGAGGTACTACTGTAATAAACCAGCGGTTCCCAACTTTCCCCCCCTGCATGGTAGCACACAAGTCCAAATTTACATAGTATGGTGACCCATTGATTTATTATCACATTAATTTTGGACCTTAGTACTTTCCCAGTTTTAATGTCAAGTTTAATGGCAAGTTTCCTACTTTATAATCATTGCTTGATGCATCCAAGCAAAAATTTACCTAACTTGTGGCAAATGGTGACTGGATCTCCCACCAGCTACCAGAGAGCAGTTCCCAAGTGCTAAACTGGAAAGTTTGAGCCTTTCCAATGTTTGAATGCTAGTGCTAATACAATATTACAATAAGCCAACAAAACAAAAGCTGTAAGAGGTATTCGTCATACCAGTTGACGATTGCAAGCAATAATTATTTTTAGTTTAAAGGCAAATTTGCAGGTGTTTGGCATGCATGTGACCACAAAAGCACACACGTTTTGGGGCCCGGAAGGGGGCGGAATGGGGGGCAGGGTGGGGCAGGTGCGGAAGCAGAAGGGGGCAGGTTCAGCACACCCCACCAAGGTGTGCAGTGCCTTGGAATGCAACCCCTGCGCAAAGGGGGAGTTGCCTGTACATAAGCAACCACAACCTACTTGCACAGACTTTGCAATCCATCCGCAGGTTAAGAAATGCTGCTCTAAATAACAATAACAGAATTATAGCCGCTTCCTACCTGCAGTGCTACTACCCATTAATGGTTCAGAGTTTAATGAGGCAGCAGGAAAGGGAGTTTACTTATTTATTTTTAAAAAAATTGTATACTGCTGTAGCTTTAAAAAATCAAAGCAGTTTATAGCAATAAAAACATAAGACCATACAATAAAACCACAAGTCATAAAATGTTAAAAACACAGGGTCCACAGGCGTGAGAGGTTTATTTCTTTACATTTTCACTATCTTCACATTAATTTTCCTATTAGTGTTTTTCTTCTTATTTGTTGTCTGTAGCATATAAAGATGTTGCCCTCATAATGACATTTTATAATATTTTTAATTTTATTTCAGGTGCAATTACTTTGTTTGCAGCGATTACTTTAATTATGGACTCTTTCAAAATTGGATACTTTGTTGGATATTCAGATTGCTTATCAGTCACGGAAGGTATTTTTCCTGCCACACATGCAGTACATACACTGCTGCAGGTAAAACCATTGTTTTTTGATTATTCCTACCTGTGTGCTTGTGTTTTTCAGATAGTGCAGCACAGTCCCAAAGCAAAGCAAAAAAACCCACCATCTTCAAGTCTTGTTCAATATTCACCATGTGACAAATAGCAAAAGCCAGGCTAGAACTATTAAGTATTATGAAGAGATAGGCAGAGAAATCTGGAAGCTCCTGCGTCCTTGTTTGTTTGACCATGATTCCCTCCAGTTCCCTCTGTTTGATTCTAGGGAGGTCTCAGAATTTTCTGCAATCAGAATCTGGCTTAAACATGGTTACTTTTGAACATGATGAATGCAACATGCTCTCAGGTTCACGGGGCTGCCATTTCAAACAGAATATGTTTGGTTATCAATGCCTCTTGTGCAAGCGAATCAACATTATACAGTGTCGGGTGGGTACGTAAACACAAATCTCCCGCACTTACAAATGTACACATAAAAATGCAATAATGGATTAAACATACACGCTGAATGTTAGCTATGTCTCAAATGTTGCCTCGGATGAAAACTGTTATAAATCTCTTTAATTAAAGCCATGTAATTATGCTGCATTAATCTTCTTTCTAAATGGGGGACATTTAATAACTATTTTGCCACCGCTGCCTAAGACATTGTCTCATTGGCTCAGTTGACTGGCCCTTCTAATCTTCTCTTCCTTCAAAGGACATAAGTCCCTTTCAAACAGCACAAAGACAGCTGTGAAATACTAGCCTGTCAGGGAAATTTTTTAAATGAAATTTATGGTGAAAAGTCGTCTACTATTTTTTTCTGGTTCTAGGCACTTGCTAGCTTGACAGTGACTAGTACATTTGGATTCAAAACATTTTACACACGGAGAAACCTTTAATTTGACAAAGTAATATTTAGCAATGAAGCAGAAAATGGCAGCTGGCCAGATTTCCCAGCAAATAGAGTGGAGTAATGGTCTCCTGCTTCAGACAGAGAGCCAGTTTGTTTCTTGCCCTTCTGTATATGCAGTTTGTGGAGAACAACACAAATATCCTTTCCTTCTGTATGCAGTCAACCTTGAAGCAGAGAGGTAACCTAAGCCCCTCCGTATATACTGTAGAGCTGCACAGAGGAAGCGGGGAGAGATACAACCATATATAATTGCCACATAATACACCTCTTGCAAATACTGCAACATCACAGTGAAGGGCATGATCTAAGAACCTGAAGCAAGGAGAATAACACTCCTATTACTGGTTTGGGTCTGAAACAGCTAAACTAAACAAAGGCTCCCAGTCTTCCCCCAAACCCCTTTTGTAACTGCAATGCTTCCCATGGCCCTTTAGTCTCAGTCTTTTGTTGCTTGTTTTTCTCAGCCTTAAAATGATCAAACAAAATAAATTACAGAGCACACATCTGGTTCTACAGCATATATAACCAGAACACTCAGGAGGGGACCCGGTGTATGCATCCTTGTACTTGACCCTCAGTTTGGTACTGTCTATTTGAATTGCCTGGGAGGAGTTGAATTAATACAAAACATTGTCTTTATATAGCAAAGAATTTGAATAATGTGACCCAACTCACATGTTGACAGAATGTGTGAGCAGTTCATCTGCATAGGGCTTAAGTAAAATGTCCTGTCATTAGCTGCAGTGAGCTGCTTTACACCTAAGTAAATCTGGATTCCTGTGATCTCTTGCACATTTTTGCTTATTGTTCATCCCTGACATATCTTATTTGTTCATAGCAAATAGTACCACTTTCCCAAATGACCCAATTATTTTTTCATATATGTTTTCAGGTATACTTCTTATGGTCCCATGCAAAGGATATTATCCAATCCTTCAAAATGTTGGAGAGGTAAAATGAATATAATCTTCCTTATATTTTTAACCTGGGAAATATCAGTGAGAAACTACTGGTACTGAAAATGTTTATATTAATCTTTAGGAAATAATAGTTTACATCTCTGCTTTGATTTTTTAAAATAAAATTACAGCATCCTCGGTTGGAAGGACCCCCAGAAACCTAATATTTGTATGCCAGCAGTTGTCCATTCTCATTTCCTGAAGTGGTCCTTCCATGGGAGACAGAAGTTGCTGCTTTATCTCTCCCTTGGTCCCCTGAAGAACTTGCCTTGATTCTGTTGCACCGTGATCACGTTTCTGCTCTTTGTTTCTCTTGTTCTTTTTCATTTTTAAAACATCCCTTACTCCAAATAAAGCTTTGTTGTAATTCATGCTGCCTCGTGCAGGAAGCTTCACTATAGCACTCTTCTGCACTGGCACTGTCGATTCCCAGTTCTGAGGATGTTCTCCACTCTGTGGGGACTTCTAAATACCATGGAGTATCACTGTAAGCAAGAAAGTGTTCAAGCACTTAGGAAGAAAACACAGAAATAGGTTGTAGGTTGCTTGCTGCACAAATTATAGTCACACACCACTGGGCAGTTCTAAATTTCCCTTTTAAAAACTGTTCTATTTACAACTCTATGAGGGGTCAGAATGTTCTCTAATTCTGGTGACAGATGGAAACTGTTGTAGTAATTTCCTTCTCCACTGGAAATTATGGGGGCCATTTGTCCTTCCAATAATTGCAATTTGCATGAGGTTCTGGGGAAGAGTGGTGCATTTCAGAATGTTGAGCACTTCTCCAAAGCTCACAGAATACCTTTTCAGACAGCAGCACTTCAGCTCAGGTTGAAAGGCAGAATCTCAGACCCTAATAGTGTGATCTGCCATCATAGGCGTGCTTCTGTGTACCAGTATTCTTCTGAATAGTTGTTGCAAACTGGCAGGCCTTCTGCAATCTTCTTATCACCAGCATAGCAATGCTAAGGGTAAGCATTCCTTCCCACCTATGAAACACCAAAATCCCTTATTATTATCTCAGCAAAGCATTATATTTATTTGTCTGGCATAATACTGAACCCTGTCCTTTAACTACCATCTGTGAGCAGGCATGCTGACATCTCTGTAAACTACTACTGAAGTGTGAGTTAGTATATTTTCTGCTCCATCTGTCCTCAAAGACTTGAACAGGTTATATAACATTTTAATTTTGGTTAGGTGGATGGAGATGTACCATGTAGAGCAGGCTTCCTCAAACTCGGCCCTCCAGATGTTTTTGGCCTACAACTTCCATGATCCCTAGCTAGCAGGACCAGTGGTCAGGGATGATGGGAATTGCAGTCTCAAAACATCTGGTGGGCCGAGTTTGAGGAAGCCTGATGTAGAGAATGGCATGCTTTGATTGGAGACACAATAAACAAGGATTAGGGACGGGATCTATCTCCCAACTCTGATAGATTTTTTTTTAAAATTAAATGAGGACTAAAAAAAACCTCTCTCCTTGGAGAGTTACTGTATATTACAAAGTTATTTCAGCTTCATACCAGTTAATTGTCCTAGCTGCTCTCATGAGTCCTGGGAATTGTAGTTTGCTGATGAGAACCTGCTGTCAAATATCCCTAGGATATTTAAATTCACACAGGCCACCTATATGCAACTTTTAGTGATGTGCAAATCTGTAATAGGTGGACAGGTATAATTTGAAGCCACACTATTTTCTATGTTACATCATGTAAACAGGGAAAGATTGGTGAAACACATAGACTGTAGTGTTCTTTACTTGTTCACCAATAATAAATACTGGAAAATAAAATACTTCACTGATATGTTCTATACACTGTTGTCAGTAACTTATTTGCTTTATTTATTTTCTAGGTTTGGAGTGATCCATTCTGTATTTACAAATTTGCTTTTGTGGACAAATGGTGTGTTAACAGAATCAAAGCATCAACTTAATGAACACAAGGAAAGGTTAATCACTCTTGGATTTGGAAACATAACAATAGGTAAGATAATTTTTTTGCTATAATTTCTCTTCTCTACATTGGCTACCCCTCCCCCAATTCTGTTTTAAAGTCTTGTAGTTTGTGTCCTTTAGTGAGTTGCTGTAGCACTACCTCAGTATCTTGTGCATCAATGAAACTATTATCCCTAGTATCAGGTGTTCCCCTGTCATCTGTAATATAGTCTCCCTCCCCCTCAGGATTGAGTTTAAAGCTTTCATGATCAGGTTTGCAATACTCTTAGCAAACGTGTTCTTGTCAATTGCTGTGAGGTTGCAACCCATCTCCTGCCAGAAGTCCTTCCTCAAGGAAGAAAAGACCATGGCCCAAGAAACCAAACCTTTCCTGATGAGACCACCTGCACAGCCAGTGGCTTGCTTCCAGTATTTCACTGTCTCTTCCTGGGCCAAAACCTTTAACAGGAAGGAGTAATACCCACCCTACCCCTTTGTACTGCACCCATCATGTTTAAAACATGTAACCATTTCAATATTGGTGCAAAATTTTCAATATTGGTGCAAAAAATGTGCTTATGTATCTCTCACTGAACTCAGTGAGCTTAATCATGCCTTGATCTTTGCCATTTTTGTGTTCTGTCTTTATAAACTTGGTATTTGCTTTATCTAAGTAGCTGTCCCTTTTGTAAAGCTATTCCCTCTTGGGCAGCTACTTGAGGCACCAAACTCCCTTTGGCTGATATTTCACAATTTGTTTAGGTAAAATTAATACTTATAATGTGATGCCATCTCATGTCTTGGTCTCACTCTTTCTTTTTAGAATTGGATGATCATGAGCCACAGTGTAATTGTACCACAACAGTCCTCTGCTCCATATTTTCCCAAGGAATATATTACCTGTACCCCTTCAACATTGAGTATCACATTATGGCATCCACAATGCTCTATGTGCTATGGAAGAATATTGGACGCAAAGTGGAACACCTTCAGCAACACAAGATAAAATTCAAGTTTCAAGGGAAAACATTGGGTGCCATTTTAGGACTGATTGTGTTCACCACAACAATAGCTATTGTTGTTGTCTATTTGTTTCAGATAGGGCGTTCAAAAATAAAGAGCGAAATAGGACTTATTATGTTTTATTTGTATAGTATTGCAGTACTGACAATGATGTGTGCAGCTGGGATAGTCGCTCTTCTGATTTACCGGCTTGAAGAAAAATCATTGGATGTTTCCAAAAACCCAGCTAGGAAACTTGATGCAGACTTACTGGTTGGAGCTGCCTCAGGATCCTGGCTTCTGTCTTGGGGTTCCATCCTTGCAATAATTTGTGCTGATTCTCACCCTGCATATACATGGTATAATCTGCCCTTTTCCATACTTGTTATATTTGAGAAATATATTCAGAACCTCTTTATAATTGAATCCATACACCGTGAGCATGAAAAGGTTAATGATGACATTAAAACAATTCGTATACTAACTGTGTCCAATGGAAATACTCTTTCACCTGCACCTTCTTACAAAGAAATATATAATGGAATGGATGGCATTCAAAATGGAGAGTCACCATACATGTTTAATGGAAATAATATTCTGCCTGAGAGCAGTGGAAGTGATGCTCTAGATGAAGACAAAAGTCAAGGCAACACACCAGTCACTCCCTCCACCTCTGATTTCTCACTTTATAGCAAAAATTCTTCTGTCAACAACAAAAGAAACATCCTGAAGAATATTGCTGCATTTTTGTTCCTATGTAATCTTTCGGTAAGTTATTATGCAAAAATAATGGCAATTATTCCAGTCTTGCCAACTGATTAGAAACAAACAAAAGCTAGTTTAGCAGCACTTTGATCTGTAGAGATGATCAAAGAGATGACCCTAGTCACCGAGTGCTATCAAAAGCTCAGCTGCAGAGACCAGTTGAGGCATTGCTGACGTTGTCTCCCACTGTGCCCATTTTCCTTGAAAACACCAATCAAACAAGGTCGAGCAAATTATTTAAAGTTTAATCCCTATGGAAGCTGAAGGCTTTGTTGAAAAATGTATTGATTAACTCACCGATAAATCATATTGAAATGGGATGTGATGTGCTCAAGCACAGGTTACACATTTCACTTCAGTGCCAAACTCAAGTGAAGAAGTCACATTTCAGTTTTGTAGTCTTTGTTATTAAGTCACACTGAAATTTTTGGAAGCCTTTTCCTTGATTACATACATTGGATTTATATAATTTTTTCAACTGGGCTTTAATGTAATATGTGGTTTTAATCAGTGGTAATAAAATGCAGGAAGTCTGAAAGCAGCTTACGGTGCTCAGCGCAAGCTGTGCTGCTTTTGGCAGTGACCAGGACCACTCAGTTATCTCCAAGCAGCTTCAGAGGAACAGTTGGGAACTTACGTTAACCTGCCCTACCCTGATTAACCTTTCTCGCACTTGGCATCATATGATGCCAGGCGATTGATATGTGAGCAGCCTTGCAGAGTTGGGTCACTTTGGGATTTGCCCTATGGCCAAAAGTGGTTCCCACCCTGGTTTATAGGATCCAGCATTAGGTAATGGCTAGTCTCATACCAGCACTAGATTAGATCAGCTCATGTACCAGTGCTTACTCCAGAATCAATGTGTAAATTGCTATATGAAGGAGAAAGACACAACTGAAAGCTGAAAGGGAAAAGTTAAAACTGATCATCATGGCAGCATATTTATAGCATATTATTTATGAAAAAGCATTACGGATCCTCAGGCTTCCTACTGAAGAAACTGTTTTGGGATTGGCCTGATAATTCTTGAGAAGTGGTCTGAGTTTGGTGTGGTTATGTCCACACCAGTATCCCTTGCTGTGGTTTGCAGCTCTTCAGTTTGCCCTTGGCTTTCTCCTTGAGTAGACTGGTGCTATCCTTTGGGCATTGTCCATTCTTTGGACTCCTAGCAGCTATCGCTTCTGAATGTGGCCTAGAGTCATTTATCTACGAATTTCCCCTAGCTGTACTCCTGGCTAAAGTGAGGTCACCTAGAACTGGCCTCAGAGTTGGTATTGCATAAACTAGCTCCACAGCACAGAGAGAATGTAAATCAAACAGTTCTGAAGACTCCTCCCTGGGTATAGTGGAGGTGGGGCACATTTTACCCTGGAGCCAAACACTCCAAACTGAATAATGATTACCTCTTTCCTTTGGTCATGTGAAATCTTGAACAGATCCAAATTGGTCCAGTTTTAAAAAGCAAATTGAGAGGAAGCCAGGCAAGGTTACTTTGAGGCGTAAGTCCTTGGCACAGGCCAACCAGAATTCTATGAGCATATCAATTTAATCAAAAGTAAAAAATGTGAAATTCTACAACTGAAATTTGAGTCAGATTTTGAATGAATAGTCTTAAAATTTGTTTCCTGTATAACCTCATGGGGATGTTAACATTTATATTTATTTTCTTTTCATTCTTATTCATAGCTTTGGATTCCACCAGCTTTTGGCTGCCGCCCTGAGTATGACAATGGACTGGAAGAAATGGTTTTTGGATTTGAGCCTTGGATCACGGTGGTTAACCTTGCAATGCCTTTTTCCATTTTCTATCGGATGCACTCAGCTGCTTCCCTTTTTGAGGTCATTTGCAAAACATGAATTTCATTTTTTTTTAAAAAAAAACAGTGAAGGATGGATGGATGACTAAAGAACATGAATGCAGCAGCCAATGTTTAGAACGTGCAGTTTGAATGAAAAGATAATGAAGAAGGTACAGACAATTGACATGTGCCATATTTTGAAGAGCAAAAAAGAGGACACATTTGCCGACTTCTACTTTTAACCATGGATCACTATGACGACTCTACCCATGAAAAAGAGGACATGTCCTGGAAAAAGAGGATATGGGGCAACCCAAGGTGGAACTCCTAATACCTCATGAGTGCCTCCTGCCACAACAATGTAGGCAAGAATTTAATACATTGTCTCTATATGGCGAAGTCTATGAAAATAAGACTGAACTTTTCCCTGGCTATTTTTCTCCCCTGTTAGAAAATAAAACACATTACCAATTCAATGTATATAGACACATTTTTCTCTGAGTACTTAGAGATTTGTAATCATCATCATCATCACCATCATCATCATCTAGCTATGGACATAGCCAGGGGGGCAGCTGCCTTCCCAATCAAGTAAATAAATAAAAATACTTAACTAGAAGTAGAAATTGTAGAAAGATTTTGACAGATTTTTCTGAGCACTTGGGGTCAAAAGAAAGTAATTTAAAACAACTGTTGTTGAGACATTTCATTTTGAATCTGCTAGACAGAGCCAGACAGAGAATGTTGACAAGGGGGTGCGTCCCCCAACTTAAATCCTGGCTAAGCTCATGAATCTAGCCACATTTAATCACATTTAAGTTTTGCTGATTGCAATGGCGGGAGAGCACGTGCACCAGTGGAACTAAAAAAATGTCTGGATTGGTTGAACAGACAATTTAATGTTTGAAAAACAGGAGAACAATGTTATGTTAACATTTCACAACACAGACATGGCTAGATATTGGATGCCACAATTGCTTTGTATTTGTTATATGTATTTTTGTATTTGTGTGTGAATTTACTAAATAATGAAAGCTAATTTCCTTAAGAGTTGAGACTTTCATTTTGCCAAAACAAAGCTGATGTTGTAAAGTCTGGTTGATAGATTAGATTGTGGCAGTGTTAGCCCTGCAAGTCAAAATACTCCAGGATGGCCATGCGCTCTTCTTGACAGAGGACGCTTCTCTATGCAAAGGGCTGTCTGATCCAAGTTGGGTTTGAAGATAAGGAATCATTAAGGAGCCCATATTTATTTATTTTGATCCAACCTTTCATAAAAGTATCGTCTCTCAAACTCACATCAATAAAAATGAAAGACACATCCCTGCCCAGACAGCCACTGGGAGGACACTGGATGCGCAGAGATGGGAAGTGGAATGGAGGGATAAGGGAAATTGGGTTTGGAAGGCCAGAATTAAGTGCCAAGCTATACGCAGACACTTCTGTTTGGACCAGGCTGATCTTCTGTTGCTTGAATAGCAGTTGGTGGCCCTTCTTATCCTTTGGCCAATGGATTGAGGGTGGGATATTATCTTTCTCCACGCCCCCTGGCTTCTGCAGTCTCAGGGCAACTGACAATGGGAGCAGAGTTCTGTCTAGCAGGAAGGAGCTGAAGCAAGCTCTTTGAAGCCACTGCTTCTCTGATCCATGGATGGGGCCCAGATTGGTCCTCCTCTTGCCATGGCGAACTTCCTGGAATGAAGAGGGGGCAGCCAGTGGCCCTTAGCACCCGGACAGCAAACTGAGCAGGCACTGGTCACCTGATTAGAATATTCCCTCAGATGATGATATATTTATTTATTTAAATTATACTAATTGTTTTAAAATTTGCATGTGTATATATAAATTAGCATATGTATATCACTTTTGTCCTTGTTTTTTGTTGATGTGTAAATGGCAATCCTAAACATACTGGATGACATGCAACACTGTGCTCTTCCATTTGTTCTGCCTGTGCAAGCATCCCAGCTTGCCAGGCAGTATGAAATTCCTTCTCCCCCCACCCCTCACAGGTTGCTCTGGGGGTTCTCCTGACACCCCCAGAACCAATTTTGAGGGTGCTGTGGGAAGAGGGGTGTGAAAGCAAGTGGAAGTCTTTATGTAGGGCTTGTGCCAATGGACACTGTAGACTCATGTTGGGTATGATTCAGCCAAAATCCCCACCATTTTAAAAGTCCCATTGATTTAAATGGGAGAGAGTAAAGCACATGCTGAAAGTTCTCCCTTTGAAAACAATGGAATTTTAAAGTGTCTAAGTGTGGTTGGGTAAATTGTGGTGTCTGTATCACATTGCCTACTCCTATTCCTGTATATTTAGCATCTGGCAAAAAAATAATTATGGCAATTTGGTTGTCACAAGGTTAACATTTTTCTTTCATTCATTTGATAGGCACAAGGGACAGTTTGCTTGTAAATACATTATTTCAGTGTTAATGCTCACCATGAAGACATTCTGGGGCTCCTCTAGCAGAAAGGAAACCCAGTGCAAAGTGTAACAAAGGGAAGAAACTCAACTTTTAAATCCATGGAAGAAAACTGACTGGAAAGAAGAGGTTTCAAGAGAAAGGAAATAATTATAGCCATGTCCAATTTGTGCACTTTCCTCCCACCCAAATTTCTGAACATGCTTTGCTGAAATAACATCTTGTTCTGCCCTAACACTGAGATCTTCAGACGATGAGCTTTGACTAACAATAGCTGCAGTCCTAATATGCTGCCTTAAACTGGGATCCAACAATTAGGAAAATGTACTAAAGATTTCCAGTCTTTTTTGCACCTGAAGGGCGTAAATCTGGGGAAGGTCAACTGTGCAAAGTCAAAGGCATAAAAGTGTTTCACTGTCTGCCTAACTGTGCAATCCTAAATGGGCTTAAAGGAGTGTGTGAACTGAAGAGTTGACTTCTACGTCCAGAGTCCTGTCACCTTGCACCTGGTGGGAGGGACAGGTGGTCTTTTTTTGGTAGGCATGGGGCACTTTCCTTTTCCATCGTCCCTTTGTTGATTTTTTAAACTGGTCCCAACTGGAACCAGCTCCAGGCTGATCTGGCGCGAGAGATTGTGGGACCTCTGCGAATGTGGGATTGTGGGACCCCCTTTGCTCCACCTTTGCTGCAGTGTCTTCTCCATCTTAGCCAACTATTAGATGTTAAAAAACCCTCAGAGGCCTGCTGAGGCTTGGCTATTACATGGATAAACATCTGCATCTATTTGTATATTACTTTGAACACTGTACCCATGAATGTGTTCCATTCACCATTTAGTCAGATGTTATTAGGTGCATTTCAGTAGCTGTACTCAAGGACAAGTGTATGGAGGCACTTCATACTTATCCCTCTTGAGTTTTTACACTGGCCAGCATAAGCTGACTGGCTGGGCCTCCTTGTGAAGAGGGTTAGTCTTGGTGATGTTGTCTCCATGTATGAAAAAGGCTTTCCTGGGCCTTAACGATCTATCCAAAGTTGGTCAGAAATATAACATTTGGGGGAAATTCTCAGGCAGTTGGTGGTCATGCAACTCCAGTTACTCTTGGCTTTTTGGATCCATTTCCATCTCATTTCAAATGACTTTGGTCACTACCTATGCTAGGACAGTGGAAGATGGAGTCTGCCATTTTTCCTGGATCCCTCAGCAGTTTGTGATTACTATCAACCAGGGCATCTGTTTGGGGAGGCTGGTTTGGGAGGAGAGGCACTGTGCTTCTATGGTTCAGTTCCTACCTGGAAGACCATTTTCAGAAGATGATGCTTGGTAGCGTTGCTCTGCCCCATAAGCTGCATCCTATGCCTATGTTCAGGGATGCGGGTGGCGCTGTGGTCTAAACCACTGAGCCTCTTGGGCTTGCTAATCAGAAGGTTGGCGGTTCGAATCCCCGCGACGGGGTGAGCTCCCGTTGCTTGGTCCCTGCTCCTGCCAACCTAGCAGTTCGGAAGCACGTCAAAGTGCAAGTAGATAAATAGGTACCACTCCGGCGGGAAGGTAAATGGTGTTTCCATGCTGCTCTGGTTCGCCAGCTCCCTCGGCCAATAAAGCGAGATGAGCGCCACAACCCCAGAGTGGGCCACGACTGGCAGTGGCGTAGCGTGGGGGGTGCAGGGGGGCCAGCCGCACCGGGCGCAACATCTGGGGGGGTGCTCGCACTCGCAGCTCTCTGCCCCCTGCTAAAATCCACGGGTTAGGGGGCGCAAATTACTTGCCTTGCCCTGGGTGCTGACAACCCACGCTACGCCACTGACGACTGGGTCAGGGGTCCCTTTACCTTTTGCCTATGTTCTGCCTCTCAAGCACTTTAACATCTGCAAGAGAGGTGGGGAATCATTTTCATCCTGAGGATCACATTCCCTTCTGGGCAGCTTTATGGGGACATATACCTGTCATGGATTAGCCAGAAGAAAAAGTGGACCAATCAATTAATTTGGATTTCCCCCTTTGTGCAGAAGACTAGCACCTGCACATACCTGCACATACACCTTCTCCTCCATCAATGCAGCAAGCATCATTATCAGATTTCAAGGACACATTCCAACCACTTTTTAACTTGTGCTTTCTAACTTTTGCAGAAACAATCTAGAGTTAGGGTACGAAGAGAAGTAGCCATGTTTGCTGATGATATTAAATTATTCAAAGTGGTTAAAACAAAAAGGGATTGCAAAGAGCAAAGTGCTCCAAAAGGACATCTCCAAACTGAGCACAACTGGCAAAATGCCCCATTTGGGGGCTTGGGTTTTGCCTCCCCCCCCCCATGAAGCCCAAAGTTATGCTGTGACAGCTTTTGGTCCAGTCCTACATTTGATGTATTGCACATCAGGCTACTCCAAACAGAGGTGGCAAGAAAGACTTTGTTAAAGCTTTTAAGCCAAATAAAGTTTAAGCACTAAAATATACCCACATTTTCAAGAGCCAAGGCTTCCAAAGGTCTGTTTGCACAGAGAGTTTTTCAAGACTTGGAAATCACTCAGGAATGGAGTGTCCATGGTGAAGGCACTCAATAACTGTGGGAGAGTAATTGAGAATGGCTCTCTTTGTTGCCCTTACAATTTGAATGTGACTGGAGCTGTCAGA